GTAACACCTTGGTTACCTAGAAACAATGACATTTTCCGCATAGTTATCTCTATCTATTTCGCTGATATGTCTAGCTAAGATTCTCAAATAGTTGCAAAAGTATATTCAATAAATTATTGAAATAAAATTTGTTTGATTGCTGCAAATGACAAGCTGAAACGAATTGGATAAAAATAAATGACTGAAGATAAATACCTTTTCCTCCGTAAAAAGATGTATCGTGTAAATATTTTTCAAGTCAATTTTATATTGAAAAAAAGAATATCTTGCTATCTACAACAACTAACCAGCGACACACAAATGTAACTATAAAAACTTTCTCCTGTCGCTGTACGCACAAATGTATACATTATGTTGTTAAAAAGAATGCGCATTCGAATATGACTTTGATGACCTTTCTGTACAGTCCCAATTAACACGATCCGCCTGTCTTTCAATTTGATGTTTATTTATATTGACAAACTATCTAAATTTAATTACAATTGTTAATTTAGAATTTTGATTGGTATATAGGCATCGTTTTTCAATTTACAATATTTATATTCATTTTTATTCATTCATCAATCTTATTGCTATAAAAAATTAAATAAAGATTTTGATACATGGATCTAGACAAATTTAAAAAGATGGAATAATATACACCAAAATTTTGAACACTTATTTCATCTAAATTGTTTATTTCACTTTTTAAATAGTATCACGTATGTATAATTGGTAGGACTCGAAATATTTACTAAATGGTACACAATTCAACGTTTCCTACTCGGAAAAAGATATAAACCATATTTTAATAAATTAAATATATATTTTATTTATTTGTTAAAAAAAAACGGAAAAAGAAAACATATGCTCTCGGTTTAACACAGTGCACTTTATAATAATGTATTTACGTTGTGCTTTATTTAATTTTAAATAATATTATTTATTTAGAAAATATTGTAACATTTTTCATTGACAGATTTGATGCAAATTCAATTTGTAAACTAACTAAATTATAAAAGAGATATGCAGAGGTTGATTCTACATGTGAAAATAAATCGAAATTAGCTAAAGAATGTCGACCTCGCGTGCTCTTTCATGTACATAAACTGTGGCAACAAGGTCGATACTTTCAACAATTAATTCAAAAAATTTATATGTAAAATAAATAATAGGACTGTTAATAAATGTATTAACACTACTTATCATAATATCATAATTCTCCTGTACGTAATCTGCAAGTAATCAAGTGCACGACTATTTAACGAAACATTGAATTCAATTTTCTCGAAAACAAAGCATCTTATGAAAAAAAGAAAACTTTATTCTTGTTTTTCGATTTATTTTCACATGTAGAATCAACCACTGCCCGTTTGTTCCACGCGTCTTACCACACCCTGTATATGCGTGACGCTTTTGTCGAAGTTAAACTTTTACAATATCTTTCTTTTATCGTTAGTGTCGTGTACTGGGATCACTTGTAATTGCATAACAAAAATAAGCGTAAGAAAATATAACGAGAAAAGGAAAAAGGCAAGAGAGAATTGCATTTGAATTTCTTCGTTTCTATTTTACACGAGCAGATGGCGCATCTGATCGGTAAACCATTGGCACGTATGTTTGTAGTTGTGGAAATCTTACATTATTATGTACATTTATCAGTAAGTAGGACCCAGTAAATGGGAGGACATCGTGACGATATTTTTCATGAAATGCGTATATATTGACGAGCCGCCTCGTGACACGCAATATGTATTAATTAATGTTAACGAGCCAGTGAACCTCTTCTGTACATGACATTTAAAGTGCGTAATTCATCGTGTGCTTTCAAACCTCCTCTGCCGTTTTAAACTCTATTTCGTCTCTTTGTACAATTTTTACTCGTTTACCGTATAAACATTGGGTAATAATAGCCAATAATATTGTCGGCTAATAGCGACAGGAATTAATCGTGTATTATCGTTTAAATATTAACTGTTAATTGACTAAATAACTGACACAGCGCGAGTCGATATGTCGATTAATATAAAACGCATCTAATGCACCTCGTTTCTTTCGGTAAGTACTAAAGTAGTACATGTGCATGTGCATATGGTGCATATCGAATACAACACAATGCGCAGTTCGATGGACATTGTGATTTGTTGTGACAAGTGCCACTGTTATGTTAGAAAATACAAAATGCATCGTACCGTTGCCTAATTTCACGTAAATAATTATTTATTTCGTAATTCATAGCATGCGAATTACATGTCGACATGTAACATTTGCACGCCTTCATGGGCGTATACATTTAACGTCTACGCATTTAGACTTCATAGGAAGTCATTTTTTTCCTGCAACATAAATTTAATAATCGCACGCACAGTTTTACGAATACCGAGAATTCCTTCTCGATGTTTGAATTTTCTTTTTTTTCTATTTCACTCTCTGGCATTGTAATTTCCAGCGTTGTGTTAATTTATGCGAGACGTACGTTTATAAATATACCAATGGTAACTTTACGTATATATTTAAAAATATCAGTTATTCATTTGTGCACAAACAGTTATGATGTAATTACACTTCTTCGTGATTAAGGAAATAAATGCTCGCGCACTCTTTATTTAGGTTATCTCAGGAATTAAGGATATTAAAATTAATATGTGTACTATTCTCGTTTCTCACAATTTGTAATGTTTTTGTAAATGTTTTGATATACTTTGATATATACATAGTAACAAGCAACAGTGTACACAACGCTTGTATTATTAAAAGACAGTGGAATTATTAAAAATTAACAACAATAATTACAAGTTGAAACTAATAAATAAAAGGTTTNTTAAGGATATTAAAATTAATATGTGTACTATTCTCGTTTCTCACAATTTGTAATGTTTTTGTAAATGTTTTGATATACTTTGATATATACATAGTAACAAGCAACAGTGTACACAACGCTTGTATTATTAAAAGACAGTGGAATTATTAAAAATTAACAACAATAATTACAAGTTGAAACTAATAAATAAAAGGTTT